GAGCCTCATTAAGTGGTAACAAACAGAGCCTCAGTTAGAATGAGAATTAAATGATCATATTGAATGTGATTGGACAATTCTAGGTTTTCTCGTTTGGTTTGTCTAAATCCGTTTCGTATGCTATTGTGCAGATATACATTCTTCTTTACAAGGAAGTGTCTCTTGCTTTAAAAATTAACAGCCTATATAGTAAGAAAAAGCTTATGAACATTCATGAAAATGTGAAAGTTTTGCGATATCCCGATCATTTATCCAGTGGCATCTACTTATGGTACGTTGTTGCATTCTTTTGAAATAAAACATGCATGCTTGTTGTGAAAGATTTATGATTTAGAATGTGTTTGTGTAGGTCACACCATGAAAAGCTTGTTATTGTTGACCACAAGATTTGCTTTATTGGAGGGCTAGACTTATGTTTTGGCCGTTATGACACCGTCGAACACAAAATCGGTGATTGCCCTCCTTCTTTATGGCCTGGAAAGGACTACTATAATCCCAGGTATAACTATAAATTACCTATGTTTTATTGCAATTAGTTATATCGAAAACTATCGTATGATTCAATTTTTTTAGCACACAACCCCCTGACCAGACCAGGGGTACTAATTGCTAAAAAAACAAACAGTTGGTTTTAAACTTTTAATACAATAAAAATTATATCCGGAAATTTATGCAGAGAATCAGAACCAAATTCATGGGAAGATACAATGAAAGACGAATTAGATAGAGAGAAATATCCACGAATGCCATGGCACGATGTACATTGCGCTGTTTGGGGACCACCTTGCACCGATATTGCTAGACATTTTGTTCAACGTTGGAACCATGCAAAGGTATTTATTACTATTGCACTTTTCTTTTCTACTTGTACTTGGTAATAATAATAATAATAACATATATTATAATAATCCATATGCCAGAGAAGCAAAGCGCCAAACGAACAGAAAATACCATTGCTTATGCCTCAGCATCATCACATGGTTTTACCACATTACTTGGGAAGAGGGAGAGATGTAATAGACATTGAAAAAAACATCTCCGAATCAGACAAAATCGGTCCCGATGATTATTTTTCAACTCGGACATCAAATCCTGACAACGACAACATCCCACTGCTTTTGCCTCATGAAACAAATAACGGTCCGCACTCTTGTTCCATTACGGGAAATAGTAAAGATAGTACTCCAAATACTCAAAGTGATTCCGATATGCAAAAACAAGACCAAAAATTCGAGAACATATCTGCAAATGATCAAGTAACACAAGCTGGTCCTCGTTGTTTATGCCACTGCCAGGTTAGCTATTATTTTATTCAGCCTGCGTGCGTGCCGTTGTTATGTATTTTTTAACGGATTTTTTTTCTTCATATTTTCCTCAAGATATATATAACATGAGTGTTTCTTCGATAGTATTAGTTAAGCAATATTTTGTCTTCCACCAAAATATAAACTCATTCTAAGTATACAAATTAGATAGAGCACTGGCCGAGTGGTATCTCGGTAGTATCAGGTCAAGGGTTCTATTCCCTTTGGGGTCGGTTGTAGGCCAATTTGAAAACAATAGAAAAATACAAAAATGCCATTAGTCTCTTAACAAAGTTAATTAAATGTTGATTTATCCTCTTATTTTAAGTTACAAATTATAGATATTTTAATTTTATTGACATTTGAGTTTTCGGCACACGTAGTAAAAAAAACTAATAAATGCCCCAATTTTGAGGAATAAAATTATTTAAATTCATTGAATTTGTATAAGCGCGTACATGGATTGGTGTAGGTTGTGAGAAGTGTTAGCCAATGGTCTGCTGGAACGAGCCAAACTGAAGACAGCATTCATAGAGCTTATTGTGCTCTCATCGAGGAAGCAGAGTACTTCATTTATATCGAGGTGGCGTTTTATATACATATATATGCTTCGTCTTTCATTTTATATGAAATGTTTACTATCCATTCATACATTGCATTTCACTTATATAATAGGTACTTTTTACAAATGTTCTGATCCTATACCCCTTGTCTTAGTATTAGTGTGATCATGAATCTGCGCCATAATATTTTTTAATTTTTTTTTTAAATCTTATTATTTATCGACTGCATGTCAACTTGCAGAATCAATTTTTCATATCGGGGCTTTCAGAAGAAGAATTCATACAAAATCGTGTGCTTGAATCTCTGTACAAGCGCATAATGCGTGCGCACACAGAGAAAAGGTGTTTCAGAGTCATAATTGTGATCCCACTCTTACCTGGGTTTCAGGTACCATTGAATTTTTCCATATTTCTTATTAATCTTCTTTTATTATTTATTACCGATTTTATTTTATTTTAAATAGGGTGGTGTGGATGATGGTGGTGCTGCTACTGTTAGAGCCATAATGCATTGGCAATACCGTACTATTTCCAGAGGAGAAAGTTCAATATTGCAAAAACTTTGTTCAAAGTTGGGTCCTTTAACACACGATTTCATATCTTTCTTTGGTTTAAGAACTTATGGCAGACTTTTTGACGGCGGTCCTGTTGTTACAAGTCAGGTAATTTTTTTGTAATTGTTTGTCCTAATTAATGAACATGTTTAACCATTTCCATTTTTTTCTGGAATAGATTTATGTCCATAGTAAAGTTATGATAGTCGATGATCGTTGTGCTTTGGTTGGATCATCCAACATTAATGATCGCAGCTTGTTGGGATCAAGAGACTCAGAGGTATATATGTTTTATAGACCAATATTCTTTCTTTGACATATATATACCTTAATTAATATCTGGTCACTATAGTTTGATGTTTATAATATTATCTTACCTATATATCATCTCTAAGAAAAAAAGAAAAATGAAATTATGTTTGATGATGATATAGTGTTATTCAGATTGCAGTGTTGATACAAGATAAAGAATTCATTGATTCATCAATGGATGGGAATCCATGGAAGGCGGGAAGGTTTGCTTTTAATCTTAGAGTTTCCTTGTGGGCCGAGCACCTTGGTCTAAATGCTCAGCAGGTGAGCATTGTCGTAATAAGATCAATTCCACTTAACTTTTTTTTTTTTCCACTGTCTGGTGTATTAATCGACTATGAAATGAGACATAGTCGATTAGGGAACTGACTACTAAAATTGTTGTTGAATAATTAAATTGACTACTAAATGTAACAAAAACAATTGTAATGCCGTCAATAAAACCCAACATGATTCAACAAAAAGAAAAAGTTCAAACAACTAATTTCACAAAATAACAAAACATAACTACAAAAAAGAAAAAAAAAACGAAAATCAACTATTATTTACAAAACAACAAATATACAAAAATCGTAATTAGATGTATCAAAGGAATAGCGCAAAAACTCTAATATTTATGCATTTTTTGATTGCTACTAATAAATTGTGCTACCAACCACAGGTGGCTCAAATAGAAGACCCTGTAGCTGATACAACATACAAGGGCCTCTGGTTAGATGTTGCTAAGGTAAGAAAAATGCTTATTACTATGGAGTTAGTTTATTTGTGTGGCCGTTAGATTGCAAAAATATGATTGTTTTGATGATGTCTATTTTGCTGCGTTTTTCATCTATTGACTTTTCCATTGACAGTTGAATAAAAAGATTTATGAAGATGTATTCTCTTGCATCCCCAATGACACCATTCAGTCTAGGTTCAATTGCAACCTATATTCTTATCAGTATATGTTTATTGCATTTATGTTATATATATATATATATAACATGACGATGAATTTCAGATGGGCACTAAGACAAAGCATGAGCCATTGGAGAATGAAACTCGGGCACACAACTATTGACTTGGGAGTGGCTCCTGAAAATCTGGAACTGTACGAGAATGATGAACTCATAATTACGGACCCGATGGAGAAGCTAAAATCAGTAAGAGGACATCTTGTTTCTTTTCCATTAGATTTCATGAGTCAAGAAGATGATCTAAGACCTATGTTCATTGAGGGTGAGTTTTATGCATCTCCTCAGGTGTTCCACTGACTATACAAATACAAATAGGAAGTTTGTTGTATCGTAAAGTCAGGAAAGGTGGATAGTAAGCCGACCATATGTTGTCCATAAAAAGACATTGTTCATCGTTATATACATAACTCTTTAGTTATCTCGTTTTTGTTGGGAATCAATCGGGCACGTGTACGCAGCGAAAAATAAAAATTTTATATGAAAAACGAGTTTGATCATATAAACACGCACTCGATAATAACAATTAATTGCGTACCTTGATAGTTCCAGCGAAAATTAAAATACAACATGCATATTATTAATTCGATAATTGAAACAATTAGCATGCTAGCAGTAAATCATGAATCATACATCAACAATCACATATAATAAATTAATAATTCATGAAAAATCATACTGCGAATATCAACGTTTAATTTAGTATAATTAAATTAAAACATAATTAAAAACGGATCCGAAAATTACCTCTTGAAGCGTGGGAGAACTTTCGGATTGACGCAAACTGCCACGGAAACCAATTCGTGTAGTCGGAGAAACAGCGGCAGACGCGCGGATCAGCGGCGGCGCGTGAGATTTATGCGCTGTCTTGGGGCGGCGCGTGAGGGCGCGTGCGGCAGCGGTTTGACGGCGGTGTTTTCGGCAGATCGGCTGTTTGTCTTCCTCCTCTCGGATTTCACCTCGTATACCAAATTCAATTGATACGTGGTACTAGACACGCAAAAATCATAAATTTAAAGGAAATTACTACCAAAGAGCTATCGGCGCGTGTGCGCCGATTCTGGCGACGGGGCGACGGTGACAGCGGCGCGGCGGAGAAGGGGCAGCAGACGTGAGGTGTGCGGCTAGGGTTTCTTGTGTGTTGTGTTTTGTGCAAAACCTACAAATCTTGTATTTATAGTGTCTTGTATGAAAGCCATAACGGGCTTAAGTTGGACCGGGCCCAACATCTTAAGTTCGTTAGTCTTTCTTCGCTCGTTTCTCACAACTCAATGATTGGAAAATTATAACAATTATGTTTTCGGAATCATTGAAACGTCCTCGTCATTTACGAATGCCGATTCTCGATTTCCAATTTCTAAAACTGGAAACAATAATTCAGTGAACCTGCTAATTTCGAAATTTCCCAATTTAGAAAGTTCACTAAGATGTTCGCCTACTTCTTTCCTTTTCTTATTCTCAGTCATAATTCCAAATTACGAATGTTGGACTCAATCATATTGACTTCCAATTATGCAAAGATTAAACATTTTTATCTTTGACCGTTTATTTAAAGGACTCAAGTGCACGAGCAGTGTGACCCTCGATGGTTCAGGTGTAAGCTAGCCGTGCGTCCACAACTCTTTGTGGTTTAAACTCGTCCCCAGAGTTATAATTAAGATGAAGCTCGTTTCAACTTAATCACCCAACGAATCAAGATTGACGTCTAGCAACTACGCGTCATGATTCCCTAGATACATTTGTAAATAATTTTAGGCTGCGGCTATATGCAAGACTAATTCCATTTGTGCAAGACCAAATTAAATTTTGTAATGTATAAATACAATAATACCCTTACTTGCTAAAAAAATAGAAAATTCCCAATGTGCAATACCAAAAACTCAAAAACAAAAAAAAACCCTATCACAAAACCATAAGACCAACTCTCATCTTCTCCATCAAAACCTTTCTCCTTCCTCATCTATAAAACCACAAAACCTAAATCTTCAAAATCATCAAAACTTAACAAATCCTACAAAGATGGCAAGTATGGAGTCATAAGACATCAAAATAGAAGAATCTACGGTGGAAAAACCCAAGAAAGTATACATATATGTGTTTTTTTAGCTAGAATATCGTTTCCCAAAAAAAACTCCCGCGCAGACGCAGTCGACATGCACATGTCGAATTTTATAGGAAAAAATCGACATTGAGATGTCGATTTTTTAGTACAAAATCGACACCTTAGTGTGGAAATTTAACTATTAGCAAATTAGTCCAAATATACTAAATTTCGACATTAAGGTGTCGAATTTATGGACATATATTCGACACCTTAATGTCGAAATTTAATTGTTTCATATTAAAAAAAAAAAAATCCCGCGCAGACACGGTCGACATGTACATGTCGAATTTTATAGGTAAAAATCGACATTGAGATGTCGATTTTGGAGTACAAAATCGACACCTTAGTGTCGAAATTTAACTGTTAGCAAATTAGTCCAACTATACTAAATTTCGACATTAAGGTGTCGAATTTATGGACATATGTTCGACACCTTAATGTCGAAATTTAGTTGTTTCATATTTTTTTATTATTTCTTATTTGGTCTTGCATGAGTAAACAAAAACCAATTTAATTTATGGGTATATTTGTCATTTCATCTTAATAAAATGGAATCTTTTGGAATCTTTCTTTGATTTGGTTTTGCACAAGTGGAATTAGTATTGCATATAGCCGCAGCCATAATTTTATTTTATACACAATGCTTTGAAATGAGGTAAACAAATAAGGGATTTTTGTGCATAAGTCCCTAACCAAACATCTTTATTATTCTCGGTTTAGAACGTGCGGTATTGAATGGAGCAGCATCAGCTGCCTGCCGTCTTAACCACCCTTTCCTTTTT